AGTAATATATAATCTGTAAATTATTATCACTTTCAGAACATGCTAATATATAATTCAGATTCATTAAACAGTCTTTGAACACCATTATATCAGCTTCTAAATTTCCAAAACTTGAATCCCGCAACCTCAAGCATTAATAGCCCCAGCAGTAATGAATACATGCACATGCTTGTAAGATGACATGCCATAGCCAGTCACTACCCTGATAATGATGATAACAACATTTGTAATGTGTATAACAACATTTGTAATCAAATTAACCACTTCGGTCATGCCCATTGGCAACTTCCACCATCTCCCTTGGAGGAATTAAGCAAATGGTAAAATGTGTTGACAAAATAGCATACAAGTACACCTAAAGAACATCATAATATGTTTGTATTAACATTCAGACTTTACTACATGTATAATGGAATTGACTACTGAAGTGATGATATTTACCAAAAACCAGTACGCCTATGACAGAAGTTACATAACTTGTATTCAAATGACAAGTTAACATTAAGATTAAACCACCACCTAATGTTTCCTTGTCATTCAGATTACAAACATATCCTACCCAGTTAACATCATTTACAAAAAGGATCTCTCTATCAGCTATTCTCCCAAAAAAATTAAGGATTCAAAAGTTATTCTATTTACACTAAAAAAATTACTTCTCAATGTTAAACCCAATGTTAGATGTCATCAAAGCCTGCTAACCTGCAACAAAGAAGCATAAATCAATATTTTAGTTCCCCAATAATCAATTTCATTTATCTTTCGAAACACCTAAAAAAACACACACACACCCACTTACTCCATTAACAACTTAAATATAGGATTTTACAACTTCACTAATGAGTTTAACAACACTGACCACCTCATGCTTACTGTTTGTCATCATTTTTCCATTTCCGACGCGTCACTCTCTCATCCTGGTCAAATTCTTCATCCAAACCCTCTACACTCACAGACCCATCCCCATTCGAGATTGCAGCAAAAAACGAGTCAAGAAATCGGATGATACTAGCGTTTTAACGGAAAAATTGCTTACCTTTTCCCTCTTTCCAGATTTCGACCCTTGCTTTAGCTTCATTTTCGCAGCTCTCTCTCTCTTCTGGTATATTATTGTTTTCTTCCGGTTCATATACTTCAGAGAGGTTCAGGGTATTTTAGTCTTTCTACCGAATTGACAAAATTCCAGATTGATACCCCATGCCCATTTGGTCATTTCACTTATTTGCATGCCCATTTTGTCATTTCCAATTTCAACAGTCCTTTTTTGTCATTTCCCAATATAATAAATCAAATTATTTATAAAACATAAATTATGTAACTAATTTTAAATTATATGGGTTATTACTAAACTTTTTTTTTTAGTTAAAACATAAATTATCCAAGTCATTAAATCCATGCAACTTTTAAAAGAAACTTATTTCCTTTCATATTTAGTGTAAGAGCTACTGAGTTGGTTATGAGTTAAATTTAATATTAAATATAAAATATTAATTTATTATCTTTTATATTTATCATTTTTTAAAACAACTTTATGTGAAATAAAATTTAATATTATATAAATATATTTTAAATAGATTATGCTATATTTATTATAATGGTTAAAGTATACATTTGGTCATTTAACTTTGTACAATGTTTTAATTTAGTTCTTCATCTTTAAAAAGTATATATTTGATCTTTTAACCCTAAAATTGTTAGACTTTAATGATAATTTTTTGTAACAATGATAGATTCTTTGAAAATTAAATTTAATATATTAGCATTTGATAATATTTTATCAACATTTAAGATTTTAATGTCATCTTTTTTTTAACAATTTAGGGTTAAATGATTAAAAGTATACTTTTTAACGTTAAAAGACCAAATTAAATCCTTATACAAAGTTAAAGGACCAAATATATAGTTTAGCGCTATTATAATTAACTATTTTATCTAACTTTCTTTATGTATTCAAATTAATCAAGTTGCTCTTAATCTCTTATATTAAAGATTGGAGGAAGAATTATTTAAAAATATCATATCCAATTCTTAATATAAGGATTAGTTAGGATTAGATTTAATCCTAATATAATATTATCTCCGATCTTTAATATAAGAGCTAGTTGACTAATTTGAATATATTAAGAAAAACTAGTTAAGTTAGTTATGTGTAATAAATAGGTGCTATTTTTTTTTTGAAATATCCTTACTAATTAAGTATATTAGATTTGGCTAGAATTACTATTATTATAAGGACTATTTAAAAAAAAAAGATAAATATGAGAGACAATGTAGATTGTGATCTTATAATTGGACCAAAATAAAAGTTAATAAATTCTTATATAGCAAGGACCAGAAGTATTACTTCAATCCACTATATCTTCTAAATTTATGAATTTTTTCTAAAATTATTCATATCAATTGTAAAAGATAGTTCTAACATATATAATTAAAAATGACAGTTTATGAAAGTTGTTAGTAAAAAAAAAAAATTTATGAAAGTCAGCATATATGTACATTTTGAAATTACCAAGAGATATCAAACACACATACTCCTCCGGTCCTAAATATAAGGCCCTTATATTCTATAAGGGCCTTATATTTAGGAACCGGAGGAATAATTAAAAATGGTAGTTTATGGAAGCCATCATATATTTACTACAAACTAAATAACTAACTTAATTAAATATTTTAATATTAATATTTCTAAATTAATTATTTTATTCTTATATTAATAACTGAAGATGATAATTTAAAATTGCAGTTTGCTTTGTATGAAAATAAGCACGCATTAGGTCCTGAAACATTAGGTAGACCATGGGACATAATGTGTAATCCTAAGTAACTTGTTGGTTTTGCAGACATGTGACTCTATATTTGAGAAGATGAGCAAATCAAATATGTATTCGTCTATTTTGAGAAATTGGTGGACACATAAGAATAGGGGACGTTTTAGGTGGGAGCTTTATAAAGGTTAACGTATCAATGATAGGAGCCTCAATAATTTAAAGTTGTGGGGAGACAAAGCGTCTGGTCCAACGTCACTTCATTTAGGATTATTCAGAATCAACATTGGGATGAGCTCACATGACATGTTTTTTTCTAATTTTTATTTTAATTATTTACTTTCATTTTTATTATTACAAGAATTTTTTACATGTTTGCTACTATAGCATATTATATTTAAAATAATAATTTTTTATCCAATATTCCAAGTAATTTATTAAATTTTCTGACTAATTAAACAAACTACTCTTTTTTTTACCAATAATTAAACAAAAAATAGAAATTAAGTGAAGTTACTCATATCTATAGTTGTTAAAATGCATATGCACATTTATAAATTCACTTATGAATTTAATATAATGAATATAAGCAAGTTGACATAAGTTTTTTCTTTAAACAAACTCCTCTAAATAAATTAATTACTACTTTTATTTTAAAAAAGCTAATTACTTTTATTAAAGGTAATTTTAACGTACATTTTAATAAATAACTTATTTTAAGTAACCTTTTTAACTTACGTAAAATCATTAATAGGTTGTTATAGATACGATACAAAGGAGTGCAATATTTAGGTTATACTCCCCCATTCTTAAATATAAGACTCATTTTATAGTGCAATTTAAGACCGGAGGTGTATATATAATTTTATCGGTTAAATATCCTTGTATAAAATTGGAATTAGAATGAATTTGCGTATATTGAGTATTGTTCCCTTTATTCTTAGTATAAAAGTTACTTAATTAATTTAAATGAATTCTAAATAAATTACTTAATTCTAACAAGTGTGAAATAATTTTTGTATAGTAATCATCTAATAATAATAAGGGAATATGGTAAATATCTTTATTTGCTACAGTTGGATATGTTTTGTTTATGCCAACCTGGTTCAGATTTTAAACAAGTTAAATCAAGTTCAGGTTTTAAATAAGTTAAGTTAAATTTATGCTGAACTTACATAAGGTTCAGTATTATATCCCCCAGGATCTGAACATTACAAAAAAATGCATAATATAAAATCGAGACCCTCGGAGGGGCCTGAAAATACAGCAAACCAGGCATGTTTTCTACCTTTAGTTTCGTAGAATACAAAAATATTTTCATATAATACTACTTCTGGTGCTAATACTACTTTTAGCCTTTAAAATAAGAGTTAGTTGACTAATTTAAGTAAATTAATAGAGTTTATTGAGTTAGTTATTTGTAACAAATGTGAGTTAAATTCCTTAGAATATCCTTATTAATAATATATATTAGCTAAAACTATTAATTGATAGAATATTTATTATAAAGATTACTTTAAAAAAATAGTTAAATATAAAAGACAAAGCTGATTGGGGTTATATATTTAGGATCAAATTGAAAGTTAAACTAGCTCTTATATTAATGACCAAAAGTAGTATAAGAGATAATTGATTAATTTGAGTAGATTAATGAAATTTATTAAGTTAATTATTTGTAATAAATATATGTTATCTTCTCTAAATTCTTACTAATTATGTGTACTAGTTAAACTTATTATTTGATGGAATTTTTAACACGTGTAACTACTACAAAAATTATGTCAAAAAAATATATAAACATGAAAAACAAAGTAAATTAGAAATGTTTTTTTCTTTTTTGGCCAACGATATGAAATGATCATAACATAATCCAACTTGTGCTGATAAATCTTTGGCACATGTTGCTGATGCTGACGCGCCCGTTGCGAACTCCAGTCTGCAATATTTTGAATTTCGTCTTTCACTGTTGCTTCTTGTCCCTCCACTTTAGCCGCTCGCTTCATCCTGCTGCGTCATTTTCTGCTTTGTTTATACATGCTTACTGGTTTTCTTTTGTCGTCTTCCTACCCGAGTCCATGTCTCATATGCATTGTGGGCTTTGCTCCACGTGTTTGCGGTCTCGGTTCAGATTCATCCTCCATATTATTAAGAAGAAGAATAGCTAGACTGTCAAATGGAGGAACCATAGAATACCCCCTACGTTGGATCAGGTTTCTCCATGTTTTTCAGCCTTTGAAGTTGTTTTTCTCGTGAATTTGATGGGTGTTGAATGTTGAATGCTGTTCGGGTGGTAAAGTTTGAACCGTTTTTCTTTGGAAGTAAAATTGCCGGGCTGAAAAATTAGGTTTTGGATAAGATCGTATTTTGGGTGAAAATTTGTCTGGTTGTAGTGCAGTAATTGGTGGGGTTGTCTTTGGGTTCGTGGAAACTTCTCGTATTTAAGAGATCACAGACATACCTCATTATCACTTGTCTGCCAGCCTTCAAGTCTTCCTTATCTCCATTATAAGGTTCAGGTATATCCATCTTCTCTTTCTTCATCCGTCTGATTGCCTCTCTCGTTCTGGCTTTCTGTATGTTCTCTCTCCACTCCTCTCCTTCTCTCTCTCTCTCTCTCTCTCTCTCTCTTCCATAACTATCCATCTATTATACTTCACCCGATGATCGTGATCTGAGCTTTTTGTTATTTCATTCCGAGTATCCTCTTGCGTCATAGCGGTTCTCTGTGCATTTTTCACATTGATTTCAGTTCCATTTTCATAATGCTTTGAATACCCCACTTCTGTTTCTTGTGTTCTTTTACATGGAGAATTTCAGTTTTACTTTTATTTTCTTCTTCATCTAAGTGTGAGAATTCGGGAGGACAAAATTATACATGTTCATGAACGCCCGTTTCCTGATACTTTTCTCCGTTGCATGATTCCAAGACCTGCTTGCGTTATCACTAGCCAGAACTTTCACAAAAATTGCAAAAACAAAAGAAAATTATCATTCTAAAGTGTTGGGAACTTTCATTTTGGACATTGATTATTTGATTGCAAATCTGGTTTCTGAGGACAACAATTTCTTTGAAGGGTGTCGGGGCAGCTTGCTTTTTGGATTCGTATTCAATATTTTATTTGAGGGCAATCAATACTGAAGACCATCTCATTGATTTCCGGGGTAATTTTCTTCCAAGTCATATTGTTCGTCTCTTAGTTGAATATAATTGTGTCTGTTGCTTTATCATGTTCTTATGTGTAGGTTTGAGCTTGGTTTAAAATTTAAATGGGAGGCCGATGTTAAATGAGGTCTGTATTCAGTATGCTTCTTATACATGGAAACTGGATTTGATTTATCCAGTGTTCTCCTTTAGTATCTGAATAGGGAAGGTCTCTGAAAAACGACCTATAATATGGCAAGATTTGCTGACTCCCAAGGATGGATACTAAAAATGACTTGTTGACTTTTTGCTCATGTACTTCTTGATCTTCAAAATCCATGTTCTCTTTGAAACATAAGCACCAATAGCATTTCGTGCGCTCATAATGATTTGTTGACTTTTGGTTTTTCTACTAAATTCTGAGACTATTTTCAGGCAGGTTCCTTTTAAGCGGGGGAAGAGTTGGACTTTATCTGAAAGCTGATAAATCGTTCGGAATGAGCCAGCCTAAAATCAAGCGTTGTATAGGTAAATATGAGGTGGGAAGGACCATTGGTGAGGGAACATTTGCAAAAGTGAAATTTGCACGGAACTCTGAGACTAGGGAGCCCGTGGCTATCAAAATTCTGGAGAAAGAGAAGGTTCTCAAGCACAAGATGGCTGAACAGGTAATTATGGGATAACATTCTTTTATCATTTTGCGTCATTACTCAATGTCATTCAATCAGATGAAGGTATCAAAACGTACGCCATAGTTGCTTCTTCGAATCTTCCCACAGCTTTCAAAATATTGCTTACTTTAGGTTGTCTAGAACCTAGTTTGCGATAAGAGGTTGCAGGCTTGAGAATCATCTTGTTCTTTGATATGGAAAGATTCATGTTTAGAGTCAAAACCTGTAACCGAGCAGGTTTGATCAATATCGTTTCTTTATTCACTTTGCACTCTTTCTCTGACTTCCATTTTTCTGTTATTTCATTCCATGTGGAAGAGGTACAGAATTTATGCCATAATGCTTCCTCAGACCTTCCAAAAGCTGTCAGGGTACTGCTATATTTTGGTTATCTTGAACATAGTTTTAGGTGGGAGATTACAGACATAAGAGGCATCTTGTTCCTTGACATGACTGACTTCCGATTTTGATTATAAATTCTGTCGCAAAGCTGCGTTCGATCCCTACATGATGAAGTCAATGCTCTGTATTTTAATATGTCTTTTAACAGATCAGGCGGGAAATAGCAACAATGAAGTTAATCAAGCATCCAAATGTTGTGCGATTATATGAGGTTTGTTTGTTTCTCTATTTGCTTCTACCTACTCTTGCTTTTTTTTTTATTATTATTATTTTTTTAATATTTAGGGAAGAGATGAATCTGAACTGAAATCTTGCTTACAAGAAAGAGACATCAACTATTTTATAGGACTGATTAAATACCATTGTTGGCTAGGAATAAGATTCCTTGTGAGCATTTTTAAATTTGCTGATGGTTCTGCTGCATGTAAAACATTAATTATAAGTAAAAGAAAATCATGATGAAATTCTGGTAATGCTTGATGCTAAATTTTGTACTTTTATTTTCAGGTTATGGGGAGCAGGACAAAAATATATATAGTTTTGGAGTTTGTTACTGGAGGAGAGCTCTTTGACAAAATTGTGAGTACATGAACCTCTGCTTTTCTTATTTTATTCGATACTATCTTCTCATTTTCAATAAGTTCAATAATCTTTCGGAGGAAAGAGATAAAAGGTTTGTTTTCTAATAAACATTTTTGTTGTGAAGGTAAACCATGGACGAATGAGTGAAAAAGAAGCACGTACTTATTTCCAGCAGCTTATAAATGCTGTTGATTATTGCCATAGCCGGGGTGTCTACCACAGAGACCTCAAGGCAAGACCTTTTATCTACCTTTCACATCACATATTTGCAGGTATCAGAACGTTTAATTTGATTAGAACATCTGTTCATGGAATTTCTTCAGCCAGAAAATTTGCTGCTGGATGCTCATGGCCAGCTTAAAGTTTCTGATTTTGGGTTGAGTGCACTATCACAGCAAATCAAGGTAACCATGATTCATTCTTTTTTTTCTATTAATTTGATCTTATTGCTTAAGTGCAGTTTTTTTAAACCAAAAACTTAAGTCCAGTTGTAAACCTCAAACAAAACGTACCAAAAGTGATGATTTTGCAAAGTGAGCATTTTTAATCTTATAAAATGATGGTGTTGACAGGACGATGGCCTGCTTCATACTACATGTGGAACTCCAAATTATGTTGCTCCTGAGGTGTGGACGAATGCCATATCTTGCTGCTTTCTTGTGCGTCGCATTGTGTGATTCACTTTATAGAGCCTAAGCTTATAACAATTTACTCTTGTGACGCAGGTCCTTGATGATAGAGGCTATGATGGAGCAACTGCAGACTTGTGGTCTTGTGGAGTGATTCTCTTTGTATTGCTTGCAGGTTACTTGCCTTTTGATGACCCTAATATTATGAACCTGTATAAAAAAGTGAGCATTTTGAGAATTTTACTGTGCAATTTCCTGTCATTCTCAGTTTTCTGTTCATTACCTTTTTTCTTTTTTTCCCCCTCTCTTCATGATCTGCAGATCTCAGCTGCTGAATTTACTTGTCCCCCATGGATTTCATTCAGTGCCAGGAAATTGATAACTCGAATTTTGGATCCTAACCCCGTGACTGTAAGAAATAACGTTTGATTCTGTCTTCATCTTGTGTCAAGTTGTATGATTATTGTCGAAGCAAAAGACTCATTATGATTACAAACTACACTGTAGAGTTGGTTTAGTCCCCAAATTTTTGCCGTGAATGAATTGTTTCCTAAAATTATCAAACTTAGTACAAGTTAATCCTTCTCTCATGCCCCATGCTTACCTTTCAAACTTTGCTGTTGTTAATTGATCTCATAAATTCAGGTCTACATGGCCTGTTTGATCGAAGTAAATGAAACTCACCATATTGCAAAAGGCTTATGGAAATCTAAAATCCTCTTTTCATATCTAAAGAGACCTAAATCAAATAAATTGAAGATACATTTATCACTCCCTGGCCCCATAATATGATGAGCTATCCAAGGTATAGATGACCAAATATGGACAGCTACTGTGGGTTGGAAGGACTAATATGCAACAATTCAGATATTTTCAGCAACAAAATCATTTGCTACTAAAAGTTTACGGCCTTCGGCAAAGGTTTTGTAAGTTTAGGGGACTAAATTGTTGGTGCATAACAAATTGGCTTTCCCAAAGTCACCGTGCTGGGGCCTAAACTTCGACACCAACAACAATGGCATCAACTAGATTCTATGACTTAAATAAGCCATTTTTTAAAATCAGATATTGCTCATCCACCCCAAAACATAGAGCAAAAGGAAAATAAAAAGTAAAAGAGGCATAAATGATTTAAAAAAAAGAAAAAAAAAGAAGGAAAAATGATCATAATCTTATTGTATTGCTATTGTTGTTTTAGCACTTAAAAGTTTTGGTCTCCATTTCTGATTTACCCTAACTGTATGACAGCGTATCACTATATCTGAAATCTTGGGCGATGAATGGTTTAAGAAAGATTATAAGCCTCCAGTTTTTGAGGAGAAAGGGGAGACCAACCTTGATGACATTGAAGCTGTCTTTAGAGATTCTGAAGTACGTTGAGAATAATCTTTAATGACTATATATATTTTATGTCAGTGCTGTGAAATTCTTGATGCATGAATATTTTCACATGTAAAAATTTTTGCCTGTGCTTGCAGGAACACCTTGTGACAGAGAAGAAGGAAGAACAGCCGACAGCCATCAATGCATTTGAATTAATTTCCATGTCCAAAGGGCTAAACCTCGAAAACTTGTTTGATATTGAGCAGGTTTACAACTTTACATGTTAAAGCTTTTCCTTGTGTTGCCACTCACGGTGAATCTTCAGAATTTATTGAATGAGCATTTATTGTTCTTCTCCCTCTTGTATTAGAAGTCTGTTATCAATAGATGGAAATATTTTTGTATTATATTAAACGAGTGGAAGCAAACATGTGTGGCTTGCTGTATTTTCAGGCCCATACAAGTGTTTAACCTTTAGCCATTTAAATTATGCTTCTTTTTTTTTTTTGGGTAATATTCAGATACAGGAATAGCTAGATAATACTCAATTATGCAAGTTCAACATAAATTTCAGTTAACTTCTTCAAAACCTGGACTTGATTGGCATAAGGAAAAAACATGTCCGACTATAGCAGATAAAGAGGTTTCTTGCCTTAATACTGTCTGGGTTCTTACTGTGATGTAATTGGCTGCAGGCACTGAAAAGAGAAACAAGGTTCACATCAAGATGCCCTGCGAAAGAGATAGTGGACAAGATCGAAGAAGCTGTAAAGCCTCTTGGTTTTGACGTGCAGAAGAAAAACTACAAGGTAAGCGAAAGGTGTGGCACTGATCATAAGCTAACACCGAAAGAACATGATCTACAGTTTTTTTACTCTACAAAAAAATTTAATCAATCTTCAACTTTAGATGAGGCTTGAGAATGTGAAAGCAGGAAGGAAGGGAAACCTTAATATTGCCACTGAGGTGAGTGAAACCAGTTCCCGTTAATCAGTGAAGTGTAAATCATTTGTCAGGATAATGCATTGATAATCTGAATTACTCTTGTTTGGAACAGATATTTCAAGTGGCACCTTCTCTTCACATGGTTGAGGTGAGGAAAGCAAAAGGTGATACATTGGAGTTTCACAAGGTATATATTTTCTTTTCTCTCATTCTTTTATTTGGTTTACTTAGTTTCTGGCTGACAATCTTTATAGAGATATGTTCCGCTGGTCAATAATGAATCCAAAATTTGGGTTTATGATCAATGAGATTCCTTAGCACTCAGTCTTTTGGATGGCCTTTGTTATCCCCCCAGTGGGTCCCACCTCTGCCCATTCTCGTGTGAAAGGACTTGTCTTATGGCCTAACTAGTAAATGTTGTGGCAACCCATGTTCATTCCCAATTCTTGCATTAATAGGAAAACTGTGGTTTTTAGTTACAGGCGGCCTATTTGTATGATACAGACTCCTCATTCCAAAAAGAAAAAAGAAAAAATCTTTCTCCTTCCTCTCTTTCTAGAACCTCCCCGCCTATTTTAAGAATGCTGGTCATGTCACAGTTTCTAGCTCATGTTTTCTCAACACCACGAGAAAAACAGAGTTAAAATGCTCGTTCCACTATTGGAGTCAGCTGAAATGACTTTGCTTGCTTCACCCTACATGCAGTTCTACAAGAGTCTTTCAACAAGGCTTGATGATGTTGTTTGGAAAGCTGAGGACGATACTCAAGAAACGGAGTGAAATCATCAGTATCATTATTATCAAAAGCAATATCTTGATACCTCATGTCCTCCTGTTTACCAATTTCTTCATTCATTTTTCATCCTACAGCTTTCTTCTTACGTACTGTTTTCCTAGTTATTGTAGGAAAGCATGCATAGCTTTATGTAACGTTTTACTCATCAACAATCAAATTATGTTTACCAAACAAGAAAAGTGCTGGACTCCAAAAGTTTACATGTATCATCCATTTGTTAATTATATTTTCCTCTCCATCAGCTATGGGAATTGTGTTACTCGCATTCCAGATTGTGTGGTGTAAAGTGTTGAGCTTAGGTGACAAACTTTTTTGCTATTTGAAGCCACATTGGGAAGTTTTGAGCTTGTATGATGAAAGAACGGAACACAATAATAACTGATAGACTGGTGGAATGAGGCCTTACCCCCTCCCCCAATGTTTATTTTATATTCGTAGTTATCATGACTTTTATATTTGAAGATTTTTCCCCCACATCAGGAGGGTTTGAACCCTGAATCTTTATGGCACCTAACCTACACTGTAAATAAGGTTTTGATTTTCAACCCAACTAAAGTAGTTTAAATGAGTTAAATGGTAAATCTGCTTTGACTTTGAGGGCTTCATACAATATAAGATCATCCAACAAATCATAGGGAATATCCCAAAAAGGTCCCCTTGAAATACCCAAAGCCCAAATTTGTCCTACATTTTTAACTAATTCCTAATAGGTCAAAGGTCATTACTTAGGGATTTCAGATTTTAGCCCAATGACCACAATGTTAAAGAAAAGAGAAGGGGTAACATAATTTGCGAATTACTAAAGGCAACTTGTGAATTTACAATTTAAACTTGTTAACTTTCAAGACTATCTAATGATTGAGTTATGATAGGGAAACTTGTAAACTATTACAGGGAACTTGTGAGTCCACAAATTAAACTTGTTAATCTATATGGTTGTCTTGTGATTGAATTTCTCTTCTGGTCTTTAATATAAGATTCATTTAATTAATTTGATTAGATTAAGGAAGTTAGATAAATTAGTTAATTATAAGAAATGTGACACATTTTTTTCTGAAATACTATAATCATCTTTCTTAATACCCCTTCTCTCTCTTCTACTTGATTATGGTTGAGGGAGTATCCATATGGTAATTTAGAGAAAATTGATAAATATGAAAAATGGGTTTTATATTTAGGGTCAAAACCAAATCAACAATTGGGTCCTATATTAAGAACTGAAAGAGTATTATTTTCAATCTCTAATATAAAAGTTAGTTGGGTTGAGTTTGGTTTTAAATGTAAGATCTAGATTTATTTTTTCTCCCATACTTATCATTTTCATCTTAAACTATTCTTATCAATTGTACATATTAAAAGAGTTTGCATAAGGGTAGTTTTAATATAAATGATTTAAGAAGGTATTTCAGGAAAACTAACATATTTTTAACAAGTAACTAATTCAATTAGTTTTCTTAATTTCTCCAAATTAGTTGAGTAGATCTTAATGATTAAGAAAGTAGTGCAATCAATTTTGTGTAAAGTGTTGTGACTAGGAACTTGTGGATTGAGAAATCAAACTTATTAATTTACAAGACTATCTTATAACTGAATTACAAGAGGAAATCCAGACAATAACCCAAAAATATGAAGTAGCCTTTCAGTTTGAACAATATGAATGTATCTCCAGCATGCTTCAAACATCTAGCAGATGGAGTCTCACTTGCAGCCATAAAATTAAACTCCATTTTTCTTATTATTTTCTTACTAAATTTAATAACATGAGACTCAATTTCCTCTCCAAACTTCAAGGCATAATTTATTTGCCATCAATATCATGAAGCAAACACGAAATCATTTTATGTTTTATGAAATAACTGCCTCTTCAATAAACAAGTTCTTACCGCCTCTTATGTTTAATATTAAGAAAGTTAGTTAAATTAATTATTGGTGGTAAATAGACATCGTTTTTCTTAAAATACCCTCATTAATCATGTATGTTTGAATTACAAATTGATGGTAACTTTTTAACATATATAACGACTATAAGGATTACTTGAAAAAAATAGATAAATATTAGAGACAAAATAGAATGAGAGTCTTATATTTAATATTTAAGATCAAATTAAAAGTTAAGCTAACTCTTATATTAAGGACAGAAGGTAGCATCATTAAGTGCTCGTTTGGATCAGCGATTGGAAAAGCAGCTTATAGGAAAAGTAGTTTATCAAAAAATAAAGTTGGTAAAAGTTAAATTGGATAAGCTGAATTGTATTTGAATTGGAGTTCAGAAAAGTTAATTTGCAAAAGTGAGATTGGTAAAAGCTTGTTTGAATTATAGTTGAGTAAAAGTAAGTTTAGCTGAAAAATTACCAAAATGGATATGAATTTTAATAAATAATGAAACATGATAAAAAATTGATTTCACATAATACAATGAAATTAAAATAATTTAATATGAAGAAATCAAATTTAATGAGTGAATTGAATTTTAAAATTTTAAAGAAATCATAAAAAATATTTTAAATATTAAGTGAAACATGAAAAAAAAGAATTGAGATAATATAATGAAGAAGTGAAATTTAATGAGTGAATTAAAATTGAAAACTTTAGAGAAATCACAAAAAAATATTTTAAATATAAAGTGAAATATGATAAAAAATGAATTGACATAAGACAATGAATTTAAATTAATTTAATATGAATAAGTGAAATTGATTAAGTGAATTAAATTTGAAAATATCATAAAAATGGAAAAAAATAAGGCAAATAAAAGCAAAACATAATTTGAATGGATAAAAATGTTTTAAACTCCAATTTGTAGTATTACGACAAAGTGAAACGAAATAATAATATTGCATAATTAATTAAATGATTAGCTATAGATAATTTCGTCTCTGATTGCATCACGAACACGATTCATATGTGATAAAAACTGTGAATTAACATTTGAAGATGATGGTTGACTAGCTTCAGCCTGATCATGTTTGCCAACTATATTACCATTTTCAGCCTGTTGAAAATAGAAGTTGAAGCTTGAATGTCTCCTTATAAGGTTATGAATGGCCATTGTTGCACAAATCAAGTACACTTGTGTTTGGAAGTCGTAACTGCGCATATTTTGTAGAATTTGAAATCTATTTTTTTAAACACCAAATGTTCTTTCTATTGTGCACCTTAAACTGGAATGATAATAATTGAAGGGTTCATTACTATTTCAGAATCCTACTTGTTGTCAAAAGTCCGGAAGGTGGTAGCGCTCAGATCTGTATGGACCTAGATATCCATTTGGTGTTGGATATCCCGTATCAACCAAGTAATATTTTCCTAACAATTCATGAAACAATTTGAGACATTGTGAAATGAATAGAAATATGAAATAATTAAAAAACGTGCATGATTGGAGATGCCATAAACATATACCAGGAGGTGGATGAGAGAAATTTAGAGAACTATCAAATATATGAGCATCATGTGTAGATCCCTCCCATCTTGCCAAGACAAAAGTGAAACACATATCCTAATCACATACAGTCATGACATTTTGTGATGGATTTTCCTTTCTGCTAATAAATTGATCTCGTTTTGCAGCGGGGACAACACACGGTATGTGAGTGCCATCAATTGCTCCAATTGCATCCTTAAAAAATGGATAATAACGTGGATCATTCTTAATTTTTCTATGACTTCCACAAAATGAGGATCTATGAGTCGAATAAGTTCACTCGACAGGCTAAGGCAAGCTTACAGTACATTGTGAAAGTGCCTACTTACAGTTTTCCCTGAACGTTGAAATCATTCCTGGATCATCCTATTGCATTGTCCATGTGCAACCGTGTTCAAAAACATAGCGACCATTTCTTCAATTCCTACGTACTTAGACTTTCGTAAACCATGTTCCTCCAATTTAGTACATAAGAGGTGGAAAACATGTTTATCCACTCTAAAAATTTCAGGACGTCAATCATCATGCCCATTCATAATGCCTTGTACCCATAAATTTCCTGTCTGCTCACTAGTTCTGCAGGGTTGTTTAAACATATACATTTCACAGTAATGACCAACCAATGCACCTTGTGTTAATTCCTCATTAATCATAAATAACCGTCTTGAATGGTCATCTTCGTTTCATTGTGAATCGTTATTCCAATTCCTCAAAGTATCTTCATTTCATGGTGAACCATCATTCCAATTAGCCATTTCTGGAGTTAACCCTGTGACTATAATGATGACAAAGTGTAAGCACTATAAGGACTACACTAAACAAAGTTTAAATAATTTTCATACTGCAAACAGAAAAACTAAAGACGTAGATGACAAGTAGAAATTAGAATAAATATATTACATAGTCATTAATAAAGTTCCTACAACAAGTCACATCAGTTCAGGTTCAAACAGCAATCAGTTCAAGTTAACAATTGCAGTAACAACAGTGAAATAACTAAGTCCTAAACTAAATCCTAATCTACAGGTCCCTTCCATGTGTCTGGGTCTTGTGCTGCCAGTATTAACCACGCCAACAACTTGCTTTTATTATGCATAAACCCCAAATAGGCTCGCCTAGCCCACCTCAACCACGTAAGCATCTTGGCACATGTATAATATAGTTGATTTTTACCATAAAGCTCCTCAACAGCAGTCAGGTGTGCCAAAACCTTGTCAACTAGTTAGAGATCTTCAACTAATGCTGCTGCTCACTTGTTAGAAGCAGCTATTATAACACTAAGGCTATCAGAAATTTTAGTAGACGCAGCAGCTTTTTTCTTCTTCTTTGCATCAGACGTCTTACCCTTCTTCTTCTTTCCATAGCTTCCTGAGCCACTTGGTCCAGTACTCACGGGGTTGTTTAAGTTGCAACCGGCGAAGTCATCTGTGAACCTTGCACTAGCTATTGGGTCAACACTGAAATTTTCGTCCTCACTGTCCCCACCCCTTCCTGTTGGTCTAGGCAGACTCTATAAACATCCTTCTCCTCTTCTGTGTCAGCCTGTGTCACAGGTGTCGGCTGGGGTTGTGAGGCTGATGGTGTGTACATATAGTCTCCCGAAACCACAACATCTTTGAATATTTTCTACAGATCTGATGCAAACATCAACCACTGATGTCTAAATTTCTTGAAATTAGGGTCCACCTACATTACATTAACATGATTAGGGATAATTAAGCAAAGTCTTAAAGGATATTCAAAATTAAAACTCAACCAACGCAAATAGTTACCAGTAATTTTCGTTGCCACCACTCATCGAAGGTCAACACCCTATTTGTGGCTACATCATAACCAATTTCAGTCTCTCTAGACATCAGTTTATCCCACAACTTTCAATCTTTTCTCAATATATCAAATCTATTCTTTAATTGCTCCTGTCATACTTTATCCCGCTCCTTTCCTGAAAGTTCTTTCCAATTTTCCCCTAACCGGACCTTGTAAACGATGTTCCTTGTCGTTCCTTGTGCACTATTTGCTTGGCGCAAACATCGATTAGAATCTTTGTCGTGTAAGGATCCCATGTCGCTTTTCCCTTATCATTGTCCATTTCTCTATGCCTTTTGATGGAGAGAACACTAATTGAATCAACCAAAACCCTAAATATGTAATAATAAAAGCCATATTATGTAATTACCAAACAAACATATATATTGTTTTCTTAATATTATTGTAAATGTTTTTGTTATCAAAACTCCGATTATTATTATGAAGTCGTAGAATATTAATTAAGACATTGTAATTGCAAAAGCTGTTTAGTTTTCGTATTCAAAAATTTTTTAAATTATAAGTATTTAATCAGTGGTAATTGTTTGTGAAAATTTTTTCAAAACTAAATTTTTATCAATTATTTTTCTTATTGTTTGAAAAACAATTATTTATCTTTGAATTGGAGATGCCATATTTTAATAGAAACTTAATTAGGGAAGACAATTTAGTAGTTAATTATGCTATCAAAAACTTAATTAAAGGGACAAAACAATAGTTTTAAAATTACTTTCTTCAGTCTATACAAGGAGTTCACATAAAACTACTGAAGTCATAAAAATTAATATATTAGGAACAACAAGCCTTTTTAATTTTGACATAAAATTTTCCCTGTTTAATGAATAAGCATCTGCTACCAATGGGAAAGTTTTTTTCATATGAAATTGCAAATTCAAGTTATTGGATTTACACCAACGGAAACTAATAATTTTTTGTGCATTTTTCTTTCAAAATTCCAGCAGCATTGCAATTGAATGATTAGTGTAACACAATCTCATATACACGTATACACAAGCTCATATGCATGTATACACAATCACATATCCAGAATGATCATCACAAGCTCTACGTAGATCCATTGCTCCAACAGACAGCCGTTAATTCACCTCAACAGCTCGGACAAGATGACCAAAACCAAAGGGGGGGGAAGAAAAAATCAGACCACTCATGAGTAGAGGCAGAGGACCACGAAAACTGAAAGGAAAAAAATAAAACAACCACCGGCCAGCAGAAACAGAGGACCACGAAAACCAGAAGGAAAAAAAAAAAAAGAACAACCACCGGCGACCAACACCAATTTTCAGGCTTTAATTTTAAGGCTTCCACCGGCAACGACAAATTCAACAACAGCAAATTCAACCATGGGATCAAACCAAAAAAGAAAGAAAAAAAGCTATCACCCAACCCGTAACAGATCAAACCAACCGAAGGCTGCCAGAGGTAGATCCCACGGTGTATAAGACTGGCAAGGCAAGATCTCCACGCACAGCTCAAGAGCACAAGTAGACGGCGGTGACTAGCTTGAACTTGCGAGGAAGGAGCAGCCTCTAGTAGGCCACGCACACCTCACACCGACCATGCTAAGCTCACGACCATGAAAAAGCAAAGCTCACGGCCACCAGGGAGGGACCTTTTATGGGCGACTAGTGGCGGAGCAAGGGTGGGAGTTCTGGGTGAAAAAGAAAGGAAGTGACTGAGCTCGAGGGAAAAGGCGGATGGGAGAGAAAAAAAGAAAGAAATCTTTGACATTGCAGAATGGCTAAAATTAAGCTCTTCTAAGCCCCTTCCAAGAACTTATTGCAATTGGACGGTCAGATAACTTAAAATGGAATAAGCCCAATCAGTTCCAAGCTCTGCCAAACAAGCCCCTTATCTCAACCCAGCTTATTTTAAAATTTAAGCTGCTTTTGGGTCAGCAAGCGTTGACCCAAACAGATAAATTTCAATGTTTTAACACTTGCTTAAGCTTATGGCAAATAGTGACATAACTCCTGGGCCACAATGGCAAACGACAGCGGAAAAAAGAGGACATGGGCCCATGGGCTTTGATAGCTCCCTTAGTTTGCAATATTATCACTCTGTTAATCATATTTCCTTTATTAATAACTGAAAACAATCACACCGAAGGGAAAGCAGAATAAAAAGGAAGTCTCAAGCGTTGAGAAACCGATTTGTGTGGAAATTGTCTGACTATTTGTTAATGTACTAGCGATAGTAATGAAGACGAAGAGTTGGGATTTCCATGCGATATGAACTTGGATTTATGACCTTATTCTACACTATATCGGCCACATGCAAATAAAAAAGAGAAAAAAATATTAGGTATTTTATAAAATAATAATTGTTTGTGGGCTGTGATTTTATAAAATACTCCTTCAATTCTAAATATAATATCTACTTTGTAGTATAATTTACACTATAAAGTAGGTCTTATGTTTAAGATCGAAAGAGTATTTTTGCTTGAGAGTGAGAATTAATTTTGATGGAATAAATTATTTATGTACAGTAATGATTAAAAATAAGTTCATTATTCTATATTAACGTATGGTTGGATAAAAATAATAGCTAAAAAAACTCTTTGCACTGAATTAAGAAAATTTAGTATTCTTATGTTTCTTTAAACTAGCATGAAAATTGGGAAGAATGGATCACAGCAAAATACATGTAAACTTAAAAACGTTTCCAAGATCAGCAGGCATTTCCATTAAAAACTTGATGGAATCCAAATTCCTCAATTGGAAAGAATGAATCACTATGCAATTGCTGCCAATCAAACACGATAAGTGGAATAAGCTCTCATATTCCCATGCTATATACTCCAATGCCATTATCCAAACAGGGCATATGGTTTATCAATTTCCTAAACAAACATATCTGTACCAATTTGGCACTCCGTTCACTTGGATTTGCTTCTAAGAAGTGTGACTACATGTCTACCGACTTGAAAACTACAAATGGATACTTCTTTTTCAAAGAGAAAAGGAACAAATGCAAAGAATAGAAATGTGGCCAGCTTCTCCATTAGGTCAGATCCATGCAATAGTTGGCCAAGGCCAGCAGACGGCAATCTTCTTGTATCCACAAGGCAGCGAAATTCTCAGATAGCTCTTATTATCATCTTAGTTCTGTTCAGAATTTGTAGAGACTTGTGAACGGATCACTTTGATTTCACTCTTTCTCTTTCGGATGCGCCTGGATTGAGATGTTGTAGATTTAGTTGGCAGCTCTTGAGTGCTAATTGACAACTTTTCGTTTGATGAGAGCTCAGGGGCAGCATCTGGCCAAGGACTTTTTTTCGATGGAACAGTGACGTCTAAAGGAGGGTCAATTATCCATCTGCATTAATTTGTGTCAAATGTTCAGAAGTATGCACAGAATCATGCTTTGGGGACTGAAGAAGTTTCGAGAATATATAAAAATCCACGAAATAATATGTGTTTTGATGGCAGGTTCTCAAGCCTTGATGCTTTGGCGACTGATAAAGTCCAGCATTTTTAATGTAATAATAATTAACTTCAATGGAATCCTTGTAATGATAATTATGATGAGATCAATCAGTTTAAAAAAGTATGGGATTAGGATTCCATGAGTCATATAGACATTTTTAACTGACATGTGCCACAAAACGACCATATTATAGTATCAATCAGCATTCATAAGTTCTTGTGTGCCACCAAACAGGATTTTTCAAATATACAAGCATGTTTTAAGAATAACATATGCATATGAAGAAATAAGCTTGAGGAACAAGTTTATTATACTGAAAATCAAGAGGAAACGGCTGACCTGGGAGGGAATTTGCTGTCGGACCGAGCTTCAACACGCAGCCACCAAAGCAAAACTTGGCTTCCACAGCTACCAAGTGGTTCCACCACAGAGGTGTCCTTGAGCAAAGACAGTGGACTCTCTATCTCCCCATCTAAAGCATCAAGATCCTTAATCCACTCTGGTTTATCATCAACATCCTTCCAAAGCAACCTGGAATTCAGCACAAACCCAGACCATTCCAGTTTGTGGGGAAGCACAGGCGCTCGGTCATCAATGTAAACAGAACTTTTTCCAGCATATGACAGTGAATTGAATGTGTATTTATTGCTAGAATTACAAGCAGGACCTTGCACGGGTATTGGCTGGGATGTAGATTCATCTGTATTCACGGAATGAACAAATATTCCTACTGAAACAGCACCTATCCATTTCACACTTTGGATTTCATCAAATAGCTCCATACTATGTATATTACTGTCATCCGCAAACATCACAACCCCATCCAGCTTCTTTTTTCTCACAATTCTGTCGTACATATAGGAAGATAAGCAAACCACAAAATTATAAACAAGCTAGTCCTTACACATCATATAAAAGAACATTTTATTTTAGTCTCTAATTGTTAGTAGATACATGGTTGCGTTTCCCTATTAACGAAACTGAAGTTAATTGGCAGTGCAGAGAACATGAACTAGAAATTTACCTCAAAGCATGAAGCCGCATGCGGGTCTCCAACTTATGCCTTGCGTCCCATGAACTTGGCATCCGCTGATTGAACCCAACGTGGATGGTTCTAAGTCCAGACTTGGCAATAATTGAAGAGGTCTCCTTGGTGATTCCGCCGGCCTCCACCACGATCCACACTAGGGCGTATGGCACCAGCATTAGCGACTGCATCACGCCGGTCAAATGAAGAGCCTGAAACGTCCGTACATAAGTTGGTGTGATCGCAATCACCGTCTTAGGGTTCTTCACTCCAAACTGGAGCCTCTGCTCTCTCTGAACCCTGTTAATTATCTGGTGAGCCGTCATCACCTCCACGGGATCCGGATGCGGCCAAGGTCGGATTCGGATTCCATGCCTCCCAACGACGACCCTGCTGGCGGAGCTGCCAGTAGTGGTTCCATTAGCAGGATTTTCAAAGTTGGTGAAGGGATTGGAAGTTAGAGCGGATTGAGAATCAAGGGATTGGAAGTTAGATGAAGTGGTGACGAGAAAGAAGAAGACGAGGCGAGAGAAACGGAAACCAAGCACCAAACTAATGAGACAACAAACTCCATGAAGTACAAGCCAGAAAATGGCAGCCGGAGACTTTACGGGGCCGTCCCCGGAGGAATCCAACTGGGGTGATCCTCGGAAGCCGTTAGTCCGGCGGTTCAGGTAACTCTGATGCAAAGCCGAGAGCTTCATAATGTGGGATCACTGAAAAACGCCTTCAAAAATATGACCACCACCAAAAACTCAACGGGCATAAAGAAAAATGGAAAACAATGTTGCATTTGAAATCAAACCTTCTGCATCAGAGAAGGTTTCTGCTTACTACTACCTTAAGAACAAAGGAATGATGGCGGGTGATGAGCCAACCACCAAGTGAAGAGGACGTAATTATATCGAATATATTATGTTATTAGGTAGATGCTGGTGTCTCACTTTGATTATAACATTCTACCATCTATGAAGGATTATATGAACTTACTTGCTTCAATAATTTATTTCTTCCTCAGGTCAAAAAATAATTTATTTCTCCCACTCTGCTAGCTTCTAAACATCACACTTTTGGCAACTAACATGCTTTGTCATTTGTATTAGGTATTTTTGTTTGCTTCAATTGCAAGTTTCTGTGCCCATTTTCTTCTTCCACGTTTATGTTGGGTTGGTTTGGAGACCCTTTAAGGCGAAAACTGGGTGGCAGAATGGGTCGAGCTTCATCCAACACGTGGTGTATATTACTGATTTCCTGGGTGACAAACGAATTTTTCATAATTTAAAAAGAACATGAATACAATGAAGAGAATTGTTATGAGATTCCAACTAACAAACATAATTACTCCCTCTGATTTAAATACTCGCGAGGTCTACACTTCTATAAACAATAACTACTATTTTCCTTTTTTCTCTAAATATAAATAATATTTACAATTTATTTTGAGTTTTTATGGCAAATTTTCTATTTTACCTCATTAATTACTTATTTTAATAATCAATATATTTATTATCTCATTTTTTAAATCATCATCTCTCTATCATATGTTCTCTCTCTTTTATAATTCTCTTTATTATACTGTTCCGGTTCTATTTATAAGTTACTTCCAACATATTTTATACAGACCAAGAAAAACTTTAAACTTCATTAACTCTCATTTAAAATTTAACAACTTTTTAATTTTATCCCTATTTAATATATATTATACTTCATGTAAACAAAGTCAACATAATAACAAGTTAAAGGTAAAATTGTACATCCGTACAAAAAAAATTTCTCAGTACCTTATAAATAGGACCAAAAAAAGTCTTATCTCTGCCCTATAAATAAGACTAGAGGAATAATAATTTTCTTATTCTCTTTCTTATACTCTCTTCCCCATAAATAAAAGTATTTTTGAGAAAGAACTTTCATTTTTTTTTTAACTAACTTTTTGATCATATAATGGAGTCCAAAGTTGCTTATAAAAGGGGATGCAGTGAGTATAAGCTAAATTTTATCTATTTATATTTACTAAAAAACTAGTTAAAATCAATTTAAAACAAAAAATATGTAATGCACGTATTTTTTTTAATAGGCCCTTATTAATAAAGAGAATAAGTAAAAGATGTAATAAATAAATTAAAGAGGAAAGAAATATATGAGGGTAAGATTGAAAAAAATTTAAATACTTAAACAAAAATGAATGTTATCTTATAAAAAACCAAGTCCCTCCAACAAATTTTAACTTATATTTTGAACCCAAGGGAGTATCAAAAAGTGTGGTGTCAATTGGCAAGTTTCAGGAGTATAAATCACACCTACTCACTTGTTATTGAGATATACTCATAATTATTTTCTTTTCTTGAGGTTTTATTGTAACTCAAAAAATATAGAATTATAGAAGAAGAAGTGACTAGTGATAAAGACAAAATGAAAATAAAATCAAGTTTAATTAGTGTATGTTTGCTGTATGCATATTATACTACCCCCATTCTTTAATATAAAGCTAGCTTGATATCCAATTTGATCCTAAATATCTAACTTAAATTAAATGTTTAATTACTATATATTTGTTGTAGGTATGTTGAAGTAGTTGCACTTATCAAATGTTACAGTTTTAAATGGTACTAACTAATACGCATGATTAGTAAGGGTATTTTAAAAAAGACAACACATATTTATTATAAAAATTTAACTTAACTAATTTTGTTAATATACTTAAATTATTTAACCAACTCTTATAATAATAACCGAAAGTAGTATAAAGTTAGAGAACACAATACATACTTTTAGCTAAATTTTTTAATCTAAAATGCTCCCAGTTTAGTTTCTTTTTGAGGTCTTGGGGGTTCGAAGTTTCCATGAACTTAAGGGGCGCATGAGTTATGATAAATAGAATTAATAATTGATAAAATTAAAAAAAGTTGAAATTATAATTATTTAATTAACTATTTTTCTTGATTGATGTGTTTTAGTTATAAATGCATTATTTAAAATGGATGTTATATATATATATTCATGGACACATACACTCATATAATTTAAATAATAGTAGTAATATAACACTGTGAAATTTCTATTTTCCTCAAAAAACTACATGTTTAAAAACATTTTCGGGGTCGGGGGTAATACCGTACAGCCCGGTTGATGAAAGATTGGTTGGCAAAAACATAAATAAAGTTTAATGGAAATTGTGGATCTTCTTTGGGCTCATTGGGCTGCACGCCTATGAGGAGGAAAAGGCTTTCTGGGCCAATCTTTAACATGAAATTGATTCAGGAAATCTAAAACAGCCTCCGATTCTCTTCGTCTGCCAAATCGTCCATGACTCTTTCAGCAGCTACGTAGGGATCTGTTTAATCCGTCCATTTTCACTTGCAGTACGTGTTCCCTCATCACTCTCTCTGATTTTACTCTCAGCATCATTTTATTCATAATTCTTTTTCATAACCTTGGCACGGAAACACTGACACTAGTGGCTTGAATTTTGCTCCTTCGACAACATGAATTGTTTCGAAGAGAAAGTTTGGTTTTTGGAATCATAATCGGATGCTAATTAAATTAAAGTATGAAACTTGTTTGAGCTAATGGAAAAGCGAAGCGATTTCTCATGTTACTTGATGATTTGAGTATAGATGGATAGCTAAAATGCTCAAATTCAGATTCTTCTTAAATTACGGTGCCGGAATTCGACTTCTAAACGAAGCTCATTGATTTGAAGATCTAAGTACACTTCAACTTCTAATTTCTCCTATGATATTCGCGGGAAGGGGATAAAGTATTTGAAGGGGTTCCTTTTGTGCGTGGGTCTACGCTCTTTCTTCTAGGCTACTAAGACAACTACTTAGAGAGTAGTGTAGGGCATGGTTGTTTACGCTTGTGCTGAACCTGTAAACATGTCATACTGTCTATAGGACTTGATTGGTAGTCTTGAAGAGAGACGTAGGGCGGTCATTAACGGGGTAGGATGGTGTAGTGTGCAGTGGGCTGGAGAGACAACTTGATTTACCGATTGTAAGTTCGATGTGAAATTGGATAGCATTCCGCCCTCTACTGGTTAAATGCGACAGTGCCATTAATGAAATGGGTTTTAAGGGTGAAATTATTAGTATTATCTTAGTGATACTAATCCAACCTGAACCTTCAAAAAGCACTTGGGGGAATGGGAATAGAATGAAAAAGTGACTCTTTAAGTGAATAAAATTTTTGGGTGCCCCTAAATAAAAACTAATTTTTAGAGATTATAAAAATTAATTAAATTAGTTATCTATAGAAAAATATGTGTTAGTTTCTTTGAAATACTCCCTTCAATCTTTTATACCGGAAATTACTCCTATTAATGAAAACTCTTTGTCATGTGTGCAAACCGATCATTTTGGGTAAAAAATAATAAATTTGGAAGATAAAATAGATTTAGCTGTTATAGGACCCAAGCAAGTCCCTCAAGTCTCAACTAGCTCCTACATTTAGAAATGAAAGGAGCATTTAAAAAATACCCCTCCCGTCCTAAATATAAGATTCCTTTTGTAGTGTAAATTGCACTACAAAATGAGTCTTATATTTAGCATCGGTATATTGGTATTATTGAATAATGTTAACAAGGATAGCGTCAAGTTGCATGCAAGAATTATTTTCCATTTCCTTCAAGATTACCAAATGGAGCCATAATTGGGAGTGCTTTGAAACAGGGCTGTGGGATGGGTTTTTACCTAAACGTTCACCCCAATCAAGCCTTTAGTAGATTATTGATTTCTTTCGGCCTATTCCATTCAACGTACTGTTCATTTATAATCAATGGACCGTTAGAACCAACAAAGTGGATCTTATCAATATTTTTCATTTTGAATCCTTTTCATGTCTTTTTCCCATCCATCATGCATTTAACGCTGATTATAGTTTCTATGGTTAGGATTTATAGCTCCACGAGGATGTTGCAACAGCTCACACATCTGTAGACTCGTATCCAATTCAACTTTGAGAAGTAGCTTCTACAGATAATAGTTGCATAAATATATTATCTGAGGTTGTGTCAAAGATGGGTGGAAACTATCCAGTCCATGTCTTAAAATTGCCAACTGCATTTCCTCCATCGTTGATATCCCTACCTGGGAATTCGTCCAACGGCGTCCCTTATCTTCCATGTAGATCTCAAAAAAGAATCAACAGAATAAGAGCTATGTCAGCTGATGTAGGGCCTGGAGAAACATCATCTACTTCGGAAGCAAAGGATCCTCTGGCTCCTGTTTTAGACCTTCCTCTTGCTGTTTGGAGGCAAGCACTACGTCCATTAAGTGATTTTGGGTTTGGTCGGAGGAGCTTCTGGGAAGGTGGGGTTGGACTGCTTTTAGTATCAGGTTCAGTTTTACTTGCTCTTTGTTTGGTCTGGTTGAGGGGTTTCCAAATACGGTCCAAATTCAGGAAGTACACAGCAGTTTTTGAGTTTGCTCAGGCGTGTGGTATATGCACTGGAACACCTGTAAGGATCAGAGGCGCAACTGTTGGCAATGTCATTCGTGTTAATCCTTCCTTAAAATGTATTGAAGCAATCGCTGAGGTGAGTTTCAGTATTGTGATTTTATAAATTTATAATCTTGTTACCATGCCCTTTTTTTTACATGAAAATGTTGATATTTTGCTGGGATTTGGAATTCTATGTTCTGTGGAGCTTGAAAGTTGTAATTTGTAGATTGAAGATGACAAAACAATCATACCACGAAATTCGCTGGTTGAAGTTAACCAGTCAGGTCTTCTCATGGAAACTCTGGTTGACATTACTCCTCGGGACCCGATTCCAGCACCTTCTGTTGGACCTCTTCACCCAGAATGTCCCAAAGAAGGTCTCATTGTGTGTGATCGAGAAAGGATCAAGGGATACGAAGGAGTTAGTTTGGATGCATTGGTTGGGATATTCACTCGCCTTGGACGAGATGTAGAGGAAATCGGTATTGCTAAGAGCTATTCATTGGCTGAAAGAGTTTCTTCTGTTATTGAAGAAGCAAAACCCCTTCTTATAAAGGTCTGATGTAATCTTCTTATATTATTGTAACTATTGATGCTCTAATTTCTGTGTCTTTTAACAGTACAGGCATTCCTCTTGGAATTTTCATTTCTAGAGATTTGAATCATAGACTTGATGATCTTGCTTTTTTGCCTGAAATATTTGTTTTCCATGTTTCTTCTTCTTTGCTTGATAGAAAGATTTGGATTCTAAAGGTTCTCAGTACAAACACATTTTCTTTTTGTTTGTTTAAGGTCTTTTGGTGACTCATTCTAATGCAAAGCTATTTGTTTGTGTAATGGTACTTAATAGTGATAATAAATCTGATTTGCCTCAAATATTTGCAATAAGGTTTTATCACTTATTGCTTGTATAATTTGTTTGGAGAGAGGATTCATTTTGCTCTATTTTGTACCTATTTGAATTGAATTGCTCTGTTCTCGTTAATAAATTAGTTTTTTCATTAAAAAAAAATGTTTCAGAAATTAAGAGACAAATAATCATGCTCTTTTGGCTTTGTGGAATCGGCTTGGCAGATTTGAAACAGGCTGTTTGGTCTATGATGAGAGCTGGGTTTGTTCACGCATTTAGGCGGGGGCTTTCCCCTCTCAGCATTTCTCACTTTTTTTAATTGGTGGGGAGAGGGGGATTGTCCCTTGCGGATCTTTAAAGGGGTTGGAATGGTCATGATAGTTGAGGTGTCGTTCATTTCCTATTGTTTTTCTTTTGTTCAGGCCTTGAGAGGTGATATCATATCCTCTGTTTTTGTCCCTTTTAGTGTTGTTCTCTTTTCTTACAAATATGACTCTTGCATAATGATAAATAACAGCATCTGCAGATGCATGTGTGTACTAGTTAAGTTCTTATCCCCACATTAAGTCTTGCAAATTTGTACGTTGAACCAGAGCACGAAAATGCCTTAGAACTGTCTTGTCTTCTTGGAAGGGATGGCATGGGAATTCTTAAATTCACCGTTTTTATTTTTATGATTGCTATTGTACAACATCCCTTTGTTTGCCAAAAATGCCAAATCGTAAAATTTTAATTGGGTTATTAGGATCTCAACTGGAGCTTGACATTCTTAGATGTGAATGTGATCACATGCTGGACAGCTAACAATTCATGTTCATGTATTATTACGTTTATGTAGGTCTTCCAAAGGAAATATCCTGCTGTCAAAATCTGCAGGAATCATTGTGTAGTTAAAACTTAAAATTATAAATTTTATCTTCTTCTGTGTAGACTTGATTCAACATATGTAAACTATGGGGTTTTTTGCTACAGCATCCACTGTAGTTATTGTGGACAAATTAATAGTGTGAGTAAACTGAGGAGCTTTTTGATGCACCATCATTTCTGTTATCTTTGTACTTTCTCTTTGTTGTGACTAAATGTTGCTTAATTTTGAAATTATTATGCTACTCATTCTCATCCCGTATATTTGGCTTTGATTTAGTGACGTCTCAGATCAAAGCCATGGCTGATGATGTTCAACCTTTGTTGGCTGAAGTTCATGAGACCGGTCTGTTGAAGGAGGTCGAGAATTTGACCCGAAGCCTTACGCAAGCCTCTGAAGATTTGAGGTTAACAATAGAAACCTCTCTGGGCACTTTTATCTGTTATTTCATGCCTGCATACACACCCTTGTAGCACATTATTACTGGCACATAAGATACCTACTGTTGTGTCAACATCATATTCTTCGGATAGATCCTGAATGAAGAAACTTGGGAACGGGGTGGGGCCAAGGATGAGGTTGATGTGGAATAAGAAAATAAGGTTTATTTGGGTTAGGCTTCTTCTTTGATTTTACGTTGGTGAGCGCACTTGCTTGTAAATACATGCTAGTAAGAGTGGTTTATAGCACAGGATTGCTGATTTAAAATGGAAACTAATATTTTTCTTCCCAAAATGGTGCGTTTTCGTGCATGAGTATTTTTACCAGTTTTTCCATGAAAAAGAATAATGCATCGTTCTTGTACAAAGCTTGATATATACTAGAAAAGGTGAGCAAAGGTCCATAGAACTTTCTAAATGAGAAGGCTTGCATATAGTTTGTTTTATATTATTTTGTGCCACAACCACTACCCTTCTTTTTCTTTTTTTGTGCCAACCATCTCTTTTGACTCGTTCATATTCGAACCCCAATGGGATGTGGCTCTCCAAACATGGCCAAAATTTTCGTCCGCTAGGTATGAATAGGCTTTACTTGAGGGCTATTGTGACCCTGCTATTGGACTTGATCATCGTTCTGTTGTTGGGCAGCCTGTTAGTGTTTTTTTTTTTTTTTTGGGGGGGGGGGGGTGTAAGGTCAACCTGTTAGTCTATGTCCTGTTGAGGAGCACGCGCTGCACTGGGTCATCATCTATGTTGACCTGTGTCTGCCTTCAGTTTCTAGTGAAGTGTTGCTCATTCTAAACCTTTATTCTCTCTCATGTTTAGCATGGAAAATGTTATATGACCACTAACGTCATGCAATCTTTACACAGAAGGGTACATTCATCCATCATGACCCCTGAGAACACTGAACATATTCGCAAGTCTATTTACACTCTCATTTTTACCCTGAAGAACATTGAGGTAGGCTGTAATTTGGAACCACTTATAAATTTAATTGATTACAAATGATTTGGCAAACTATGTTCTCATTTTTGTTGCATTGTTGCAGAATATTAGCTCTGATATATTGGGTTTCACTGGTGACGAGGCTACAAGAAGGAATTTAAAATTACTCATCAAGTCTCTGAGCAGGTTATTGTAAGGTCCAAATTAAATAAAATAGGATACATCAGGCAATACTTTCTTCGCAATGCATTAGATCAATGGTGACATCGGAGTATTTCAAAGTACTTTGTACTCCTTTCTGTAGCTGGTTCTATGGTGCCACGACCCAAGATTCTGACGTAGAAACACGTTTCAATTATTCTACTTAAAATGTCCAATTTCATGGGAATGCTCATGATCTTCGAGAATCGCAGATGTTATTGATTGAGGCAGCCGAGTTGACAATGTTTGCTCCATCTAGGAGACATGAAGGCGAATCTAAACGGCTTGCCTTTCCCCAGTTAAATCATTTGAGAGAGATCACTGGCGTTCAGCATCCAAGTGTTTCATGAATGAATGCAATTACAGTTGTTTGGATCAAGATATTGATCCGTGCATGGTCATTGACCGGAACCTGAGCATTCGGATTAATGCTTGGAAGTTGATTATTGTTTGAATTGTGTAATTTCCCGTTGTTCCACCAC